AAGGGAGAAAGTGACTTCTTTAAGAAGTCTTTCTTATGCAAAAATCAAATGCCTAGTAATCGGATTTTGTTACTTTTTCTGTGAGAAAAGATACCCACAGGATAGTACTTCTCACTAGTTGGCATGCTTGTAGTATAAACTTTTAAGAATATGCCATGAAAGTGCCTTTACCAACTTGGGACATTGCATCCTAAATCATGACTCAAATGTTGATTACATCACAGTATAATATAACATGGCAATGAGAGTTGAAGATTATTCATGTTTTTCATCACCTGTAGCAAAATATGAAGATCTCAGAAGGATAAATATGTAGGTATCAGAATATGTTTTGTATCTCCAGAAAGCAAATCAAATTCTAGTAGATATTTTTAGCTCTTGTAAGAAACCCTTTTAAGGAGCTTTGGTGGCACAGTGGTTAAGTGCTTGGCTGCTAACCAGAAGGTCAGTGGTTTGAACCCACCAGCAGCTCCATGGGAGAAAGATGTGGTAGTGTGCTTCTGTAATGATTATACCCCACAGCTCAACTTTCGGGAGCTCTGGTGGCATAATGCCTAAGGCATTTGACTGCTAACCAGAAGCCTGGTGGTTCAAACCCACCAGCCACTCCTCGGAAAGAAGGTTGGGTAATCTACTTCCATAATGATACTGCCTCAGAAACCCCAGGAGGGGTCGCTATGAGTCGGATCCAACTGGACAGCAGTGATCAGCTCAGCATCAGCTCAACTTTCAGCCAAACAGTAGACAGTAACAGTAACACCAGGGAGGTACACCCTGCTTAGAACAATCAACCTGTATGAGATCAAAAGGACAACATTTACCCAGGGATAAAGTTCAGAAGGCAGGAAGGAATAGGAAAGGGGGAAAAAGGGAAATGGTAACCACAGAGGGGAAATGGGAAGAGTGCTGTTACATTGTGGGGATTTCAGTGAATGTTACAAAACAAAATGTGTATGGATTGTTGAATGGAAAACGAATTAGCTCTATAAACTTTCATCCAAGTCTGAAATAAGGGACAAAAATAAAGTTACAGACTTGGAAACCCTGTGGAGCAGTTCTCCTCCGTCTTACAGGGTTGTTGTGAGTCACAATGAACTCAACAACAATGGGCTTTGGTTTGGGTAAAAGACGTTATTTATTTATTTATTTATTTTAATAATTAAATAAGTAAGTAAAGTAAGTGAGTTTATTGAATATTGACTGGCCTAAGGCATTTGACTGCCAACCAGAAGGCTGACTGTGCAAACCCATCAGTCACTCTTTGGAGGGAAGACCGGGCAATCAACTTCTGTAGAGAATACTGCCTTGGAAGCCCAAGGAGAGGTTGCTCTGAGTCAGTATAGACTTGACGGCAGTGTTTTTTTTTTTTTTTTTGGTTTTTGGTTTTTGGCTTTTCATTACCCGGGTTGTGTATATAGTTAGGGAGTATGCTGGGAGTAGGGGAGTAGGAAGGTAAATTGTAGCAGTTGACCTAGGAAATTACTCCTATTTTTATGTTTTTATGATTTGCAATACTTGAGAATCAGTCCATTCTCCTTGCTACATATTTCATTCAAAGTATTTTGAGACATTGTAATCAAAGACAATTGTTCTCATATGGCCTTTACTAGGAGGCTTTTAACTGTCAGCTGGACTTCTTTCCAAATCTTATTTGGCAGATAGAAACATCCAGAGTAGCATTCTCATCTGGTGCACATGGGACTGGTCAACAGCCAAGGAGCACATTCAATATGAAATTTTGCTTTAATTGATAAAATCTACTCATATGAAACATGTGTAACAGTATATGTATATAAACACAGAAATACACACAACTAAGTTATATTCTCATTGTTGTATAGTACCAAAATGTTACAATATAAATACAAAAGTAACATAATGCTGAAATTCATGACTGTGTAATTTTATTTACTTCTTGAGAATCAGTTGAGTTTTTGATTCCACAGCAAATGTATTTTGATTAAGATCATAACAAGATGTATGTCACAGTAATTCCAAATTATTAAAGCATATTACATATTTAAAGTCTACAGTCTTCTGTGATGGTCTGTATCTGATCTCAGATTAGAGAGACAAATCTATTGATATTTTGTTCCAGGTACTACACTTTCTATGGTCCTCCCTGGAATGTTTGGGACATGCTGTGATATTCAGTGGTTATGCTAAACAGGGTTAGAATCATGACTGGAGAGATTAATATACTTTGAATATATTAACATTCAGGGATATATGCATATTGTTGTTGTTGTTATGTGCTGTCGAGTTGGACCCGACTCATAACGGCCCCTCCTTGTGTTTCCAAGGCAGCATCACTATGGAAGTAGATTGCCCCATCTTCCTTCCGAGGAGTGGCTGGTGGGTTTGAACTGCCACCCTTCTGATTAGCAGTCAAGTGCCTTAGGCACTATGCTACCAGAGGTCCTATATGCATATAGATAGATAGAATCATTACTAGTGGAGTTTAACAGTTAAGGTTTGGTTGCTTAGCTGTGAAAGTTTTCAGTTATGTGTTTATAATGGGTTTGTCTGTGAGGAATTCTGGAAAATCAGTGAAGAGAAATATTCCTAGGAAAAACTAGGTTCTTAAAAAAAAGAACAAATCACAAAAGTGTTTTACTTACTTTTACATGAAACTGAGATGTGCATTTTGACTTTACCACATGTAGAACAATAACAAAACTGCCATGAAAATACGGTGATATTTAAATGTGCTAAGTATGCTCTGGTAGCATAGTGGCTAAAGCACTTGACTGCTAACCAGAAGGCTGGCGGTTCAAACCCACCAGCCACTCCTCGGAAGGAAGGTTGGGCAATCCTACTTCCGTAGTGATACTGCCTCGGAAACCAAGAGGGGTCTATGAGTCGGGGCTGACTCGACAGCACATAACAACAACAACAACAAGTGGAACATGGACCCAGTCAGATTTCTGTGATTTACCGGTTTTTAACTTCAGAGACTCTGGTTAGTTTGCATTTTTTAAACTAATGAGTTTATCACAACTAGTGGGAAAATGGTTAAAGTATATCAGCTGTAAATTGGTACAAAGCACTAAAAGGTACATTAGCCTCTAATCAGATTCTAACAGTTCATTAAACCTGCCTTTCTAGAACTGTTCTTTGTCTTTTCTCCTCCTTAGCTTGGGCCTCCCTTATAAGGCAGCTTCTTCCCTTTTTCATCTGGGCAAGACCTCCTCCAGGGTAGGAAGCAATATCAACTCATCCTTCATTGTCTACCAACCAAACAGCCCAGGGGATGCTTTGTTACAGTACATTCCTGGTGCTGCTGTGAAAGACAGAGCTGTCTGGCTGCGGGATGGCTTTCCCGAGGCTGGATGGTGGCAAGCCAAGCTGGCTGCTTCCAACCACGGAAGCAAGCAACACATTAGGATTTGAGATTCATGCCTGATATGTAAACAACCCACAGGCCTCCATGAAAGGATTTCAAGTTTGGAACAAATTAACTGAGCTGGCCAGTAATACCACAGTTCCTTCTACTCTAAGCTGTCTGTTAGCACACAACATCCCTAAAAAGTATGGACAAGTCAGAAGGAAAAAAAAAAAAATATATATATATATATATATATTCTGCTAATTTTAATAATATTGTGCATTTCTAGGGGAAAACATGAAAATAATTTGTTTCCTTCTTTGAATTACCTAATAGGCTAGGTGTCATGGAATTTTAAAATGTTCATTAATTAGCTCCAGTGTTAAATATGCTTTTTCTTTTTCTCTGTGAGAGACCCTGTAAATTTTATATCTTAAAAATATTTTTCTTAAACAAAAACAAGAATTAAGAAATACGAGAAATAATTAAAGCTTCACTTCACTGCACTCTATTGGTATTATTTGGTAATAAAAAATGTTTAAATTATTGTTTGTTGGCATGGAATTTTTTTTTTTTTTCTCTTTGACTGTCAGTTTGGTGGGAAAGAAATTTATGAAAGGCAAAAGCCTGAAGATTCAGAAATATATTAATATTTGTCATCATGTTGGCAAAATAAATGGAAACTGTTTTTTTTTTTTTTTCCTTTCAATAAACACTAAAGTGATGTGATTACATTTACTTGATAAAAGTAACCACTCTGAAGGTTCCTGTATAGTTAGATTTTGTCATATCAGCTGTTGTCATGGTATAAGGACAACATTTGCATTATAAACATGTTTTAAAATAAGAACCTGATTTTTGACCTAACATGAATACTGATTTATGATTCTCTGCCTCCTATTACAGATTATTGACTTCAGAAAATCCCCATGCACTGAAAATTAGTAGACAATAACATTGATTTACTCTATTGAGCCGCAACAAAGATAAGATTTTCTTTTCAAGAAGTAGTAAGTTCTACTTACTACAAACATATACCAGAACAGAAAACAAATGATCTAATATTCCTTGTTTATGACATTAGCATATACATTCAGTCTCACTCTTAGACATACATACATTGGTCATTTTAAAAATATTAGATGTTTGGGATTGATGTATAGAAATTCTTACTTGACCAAAATTGCCATGATATCAAAATTTGGTATATCTAGAATTATATTATCTTATTTTTTAAATTATTTTGACTTGGATAATAGTATGGACATATGTAAATTATTATTTTAAAATTCTTTTTCCTTTTTGAAAAAATATAACCTCCAGAAGTAAGGAAGAGACAAACGTGACTTATATTTCTTTCCACTATTGCAAAACTGTGATGAATTGTTCCAGTCCCATATAAATTAATGTAAGGTTTCCACACTCTAGTTTATTATAGTCTGACCTCCAACCCAGAGGTCAGAGAATCAGACTGATTAATTCAACTTCTTGGTTATTACTTCAAATGAAAGTTCAGGTTGGAGGAGTAATTGGTTATGCTGCTATTCTCATTTAATTACAACTCATTGTTAAAAAATTAAGGTAGCCATACTAAATGAAGAAAGATTCTACCATGTGTCCTCCTTTGAATATTTTATAGCTGACTTTCCCTCTCTCTGTGGTTTTATTGCAGAATATCGACACCTTTGAGAACAGAATGTTAATGCTTGATGGGATGCCGGCAGTCAGAGTCAAAACAGAGCTGTTGGAATCTGAACAAGGGGTAAGCTGAGGTTTCCAGACTATGCACTCCCCACCGCCATGATAGTGACAGTCATTTCCAGAGCATTTTGAGGCTTGCAGAAAGCACTTCTGCTTCTGCCCTTGCCTAAGCTTCTGTACCTCAAGAGATATCATGCAACTTCAAATATTACTCACTTGGAAAGGATACTTTTCTGAAATTAGGAAGGCATCGTGACCTCATTAGAAACATATTTAATTATATATTATATATTTAAGAATATTTAAGATGGTACATGCTTTGAAAAGATAATAAAATCCAATACAAGGAGGAGGTATTAATATATGACGGGAATGTAATCTAATATCAAAATAGCTTGGTTCTTGGCTAATTAGGAAATTACTAAGTGTCGTAACTATATTATTGTTAAGTGCCGTTGAGTTGGTTTAGACTCGGAGTGGTCCTGTGTACAACAGAACGAAACACTGCCTGGTCCTGTGCTCTCCTCACAGGCATTGCTATGTTTGAGCCCATTGGTTTGTTGGATGGATGTCTCCATGTTAACGTTTTTCATTCCATAAGGACTAGAGGATAGTTAATGTAATTAAAATCAGTGAATTTGAAATGTTCATAAAAGCAAAAGATTAGAAACTATTGCCTGGAAACAACTTTTAAGCCTTGAGCTGAAACTGTCCTGTGAAGTCAACCTAACTGAACAATACGTTAGATCATTTAATAAAGAATATTTGCCTTACCACATTGCACTCTTTTAGAAGAATACTTACATGAGATTAAGTGGACAACTGTTCCTCTAAAATACAGAGGAAAAATTAATGGAGCAAAGATAGGGGCAATGGTGACAAAATGTGATGTATGTGACTTTTGTTAGTGAACTATGCATGCAAAAATTGTGAATGTGCGTATGTTTTGTGATGTATATTTTTACCAAAGGGGGGGAAGGTTGTTTAACACTACTAGCCAAATTGATGAATTAGTTTATGGCTACTGAAAATGTAAAGAACAAAAGCACAGTAGATTATTTTTTTAAAAAGAATATAGAAGATTTCAAAATTACTAACATTTATAGGTTTACCACTTAAAATAATACAGTATGATTGTTTGCAATTACGTGCTGCCCACTTCATGTAGGAAGGGAGAAAGCGCTATTCATGTGCCCAAGTGCACGCTGGCTTCCTTTCTTTGCAAACATTCTTTCTTTGCGAACATCTTCTATTGAAGCAGCACAGATGACTGGGAAAAGAACATAAATCAGATAAGTATATAATCTAAACTTCATTAGTGTGTCTATTTAAAAAAAAAATCACAACCAAAAAAAATTAGCAAGGATTTGCAGTTGCACAAATTAAATCAACAACTTATTAAAATATCAGTATTATAAAATTCAGTGTGGATGAGTTCATCTAGGATGTTGTTTAATGGGTGAGGATACTGATGTACCAAAAGTGTTTCAATATGAGGGTGTCCAAAGGCAGGCATGTGGAGGATAGCATATGAAAAACTTTTCCATTCCAAGGTGTTTGTGGTAGAGTGCGCAGCATCTCAATATATATTTCTCCTCTTCCTTGTAAGTCTGTTTGAAACAGATCCCCATCGTGGTAGAGGATGCTGTTTCATCTTTATGATCAGTGTCGAGTTTTCTATCTCTGAAGTGAATTTTGCTGAATATGTCATCCAGTAACATGACTTCTCAGTTCAATGCTTGACACAGTAACTGACTCACATAGATTTAAGCCAACACTTAGGCAATGAAGCATCATGAAAGAAGAGACTTTGTGGCAGTTTTTAATGTTATTTTTCAGTGTAGGCTAACATTTCCAAAAAAGTCGTGTGTTCACCTGTATTTTCTATCCTGACTCATCAAGTTATATTAAATATCCTCCAAACTATGTATGGCATTTTTGCCTTTACTGAATTGAGCTACACCACAGAAAGCATTTGTTTTATATCTTCAGAGTTCTGTTTTCTTAATCCATTTCAGACTATAGAAGCATTATCATCAGTGTAATAAAGTAAAACCAGTTTCTAAGGGGTCAGTTCTGACTCATGGCAACCTCATAGGTGTCAAGTAGAACTCTCCATACCATAAGGTTTACAGTGGATGATTTTTCAGAAGTAGATGGCCAGGCCTTTTTGCAGAGGTGCCTCTGAGTGGATTCAAACCTGTAATCTTTTGGGAAGCAGCTGAGTGCATTAACAGTTTACATCACCCAGGGAGTCCCTGAACAATTCATATGGTTGGCTGCTTACTGAAGGATTAGAGGTTTGAGTCTACTCAAGCACCTCATAAGAAAGGCCTGGCATTCTGCGTCAGAAAATTCAGCCACTTGAAACCCTGTGGAGCATGGTGTGACTCTAATACACTCGAGGTCACTGTGAAGTTGGAATAGACTGTACAGCAGCTGGTTTTAATAAAATAAATATCTGCACAACTCATGTTTAACAAACCATACAGACGTTATATTCAGAGAGGACAGCCTGCTGGTGGAAAAGAAGTGAGAAAGCAGTCTGCATCCACAGTGTTGCTTTTATTTCATAACGCTTTATTCAGCTTCATTAGCAGAAGATCTATTCAAGCTGTGTGTGTTGGAGAGAGAAGAAAAGTACAGAAAACCAGTCAGAAAATATAACCTAGACTAATGGTCAAAGCTGGGATAGGACATTGTCATCACTAGTCCTGATAATCTTTAACACTATTCAAATAGTTCTTTCCTTTTCACTATCATTTTTCTGTTTTAAGCTAAGATTTGCATGAAAGATTTAGGTACTCAAAAACCGAAAGCCAGTATTCACAGAGGTTTTACAATATCATATGGATCCCATGCTACATTATTTATAGAAAGTAATTTTTGTCCTTAAGTAGGGAAAAGAAGAATGTGACTTCATGGGTTTTAGTTAATGCCTGTTCATTAAAATCCATTTTCCTTCTTTTGAATGGAAATGTTGTTAAAATTTTATTCTTAGATTGTACATATTGAAAGGAAGAAGCTTTACTTTTTTCTTAGTTTTGTGTGCACTTAAATATATGAAATATATGGTAATAAAATTTCTTCCTTTTTTATAAGAAAGATTGAGAGAAGCAGCATACAGTGTTTGATGAAATGTATTATGATCTCTTTATAGAATACAGCTATTTGTAACACTTTTCAATCAACTCTTCTTTAAAATTAGAAATAAAATCTAGTGTTTCAGTGAATTTTATTTTTGGTCATTTTACTGGAATTCAATTGGGGATGAGGCAGTTGGTGGTGTCTTCTGTCTAATTTCAGAATCAGATTGCAGAACAATTTTTAGACGAAGAAGGCTAGAATTTTGAAGACTTCTTGGCTTCCATCTTCCATGACTCCTAATTTAGTATTAAAAACTGATTAAAGTTTTATTCTTCATTAGAAAATGTTAGCATATTGGTGAAATTAAAATAAATAATTGTTGGTGTGACCGTGGGCTTCGGAAAAATATGAAACATTTCAGAGTCAACAAAATGCTATAGAAATCCCTTATGATCACAAGAATGAATGAGAAGACCTGAAGAAAACAAAGGAGGTACACTGGTTGGAATCTATGATGACTCTGACAAACACAGTTTTGAGACAATAACCTCAAGCTTTTGGTGAAGAGAAATTGTTCTGTGTTGCAAATTATAAGCAAAGTTTTAAAGATCTGCTACTTTACATTGATCTTCTGTTTCAATAAGGAGCCCTAGTGGTGCAGGTGTTAAAACACTTGGCTGCTAACAAAAGGTGTTTTGAACCCTCCAGCCACTCTTCAGGAGAAAGATGTGGCAGTCTGCTTCCGTAAAGATTTACAGCTTTGGAAACTTTATAGGACATTTCTGCTCTGTCCTATAGGCTCACTAGGAGCTGGTATCAATACCACAGCAGTGTTTTTGGTTTTTCTGTTTTAATGCATCATTGAGACACACACGTTTGTTCTCTTTTGCTTGCTGTGATTAGTTCTTTAGGTCTTCTTCAGTCAGCTGGTCTCTGAATGTCCCCATCCTTTTCAAAGGAATTCAGGACCTCACTTCTGAGTTTAAAGAAAGTCCATGGAACAGGCCTGGCTTAACCACTTGACTTTCTCCCTTCTGAAGAGAGCTGGCTGCATTGGCTCATTGTCTGCATAGATATTGTGGTGTGCATGTAATCGTGTCTCTTATATCAGGTTTTAGGTTCTTAGATGGCAATGGCTATTTGTTATATTTCTCTTGTCTCTTGCAGTTCCTGGCACAGTACCACACACATATTTGCTCAGCAAATACATGATTTATTAAACTTGTCCAGGCATCATAACTGACATGGTGAAAAACATAAAACTAGTCAATACCTATAGCCAATCAATACTTAGTTGTAAACCTGCTCAATCTACCTTGTAGAGTTGTTGTGACTATAAAATTTAAATTGCAAACAATGGACATATACATTCTCACTGGTGGTGGAGGTCCTAGTCTTGCAACCAGATGAGATGTATAGGCACGACTATTTGACACCAACTCTATGTGCCTTCTATTCGGAGTTCTCTGACTTCTGCGTCGTTAGTGATGTAAGATCCAAGTAGATTATTATTGTAATCTCCTGAAATGTGCCTTCACTTTTCTCCAGGCTTGTTGGTAATACATTTGTGCTGTTAAGCAACCCACAGGAAGGGCATTTGCTCTTGTGATACACTTCAAGGGCACAGCAAGCAGTGTTTGAATGACTTTTTCAGTGACCTGTGGTGCTTTGCCCTGCTGTTACACAAGCTTCCCAAATGCTGTCAGCCTTTGGGTGTGCTAACATGTTATTAAGCAAAGGACTACAGCAGGAAGAAGGCCATCAGAATTACTCTACTGAGATAAGGTAGAATGTAGAAACAGTGCACTGCCTCCAAGACACAGAACATGATTTTATTCCTGGCCATGAAGTTTACTGGTTTGAGTGACTTCTTATTTTCAGTCCCCTGCACCCTCAACTGTACAGTGGAGACTTTGGAGATGAGTTCTTCCCAGGTTCAGTGTGACATTCTGTGGTCCTGGTCATGGGCCAGCA